TTTATTTTGTTTTCAAGGTCTGTGTATAAAAGTGAAAATGTTAAAAACAATGACTACCTTCTTGAAAATTATTTAATTTCTATTTTCTGTCTTTCAGACTCCTCAGCTCAAATTATGGTAGGGATAAGGCTAGTTCTTCCATACTTTTTTCCAGGAAACTTATTGCGAGAAGGGGGACACTTAGTCTTACAGGAATCTCTGACTAAAGGCACAAGTATGGTAATTCAATTTAGCAAAACAAAGACCACAAGAAAAAGCTAAAGACTGCTCAAGGAGCATTTTGGCTAAATCTTAACAGGATGAATTTCAGAATCAAGGAAGTGGGAATTGTCCAGGGTGCTGATACTTTCAGAAAGCCATTTCTTCTACAAGCTGTGGATGGAGAAAACTCATAGTGGTTGGACCACATTCTTCTTAGCTTTTAGGAAATTGTCTAGGTCTCTTCCCCCAACCCATAGTGGCAGCCATTGTTCCGACATGCCAGGGCTCCACTGATGCACCTCAACTCTCCACTGCCAAAGCTATGTCAGCCATGAGAATATTTGTTTGCTTGGCTTTATTTTATTTATTTTTGTTTCTTATTTTATTTGTGTTCTGGCGAATGCTGGCAAATACCAGTATTTGTGGGTTGCACTTTGTACTTCCGTAGAAGCAGGTACATTCCCTCTGTTCATCAAAGTAGCCTTTGAACACACTCATGCACACTACCACAACCATACTTACACATACATGCACAGTCATTGACACACAGATGCATACACTCAAGTGTTTGCATACATTGTCACATATGTTCACACACACGCGATTAAGCACATTCACACAAAATCCTGCACACAATCTTGCACTCACACTCATATTCACAGACTGGAACACTCAATTACAACTACACACCAATACACATTTGCACACACAGGCTTTCTAACATAGGAGGCCTTGGACAATTGCACCTGAGTTTGCCAAGAGACTCCCTTCTGCGTTTATTTTATGTTGTTAATTCTGCGTGCTGAGTAGTTTAAGGAAACACCCTTGATCCTGAATGAGGAATCTGGGCGCGAAATGGGCCCCAACACTGAGGTCCCCGAGGGGCTCGGAGGCGTAAATAATAAATAAAAGGGCCCAGGCAGGCCGAGCTTTGGAAGCTGGGCACTAAATCACTCCCCAAATCACAGCCACAGCCGCGTCTTGCTCCATCCAATAGCTCTAAGCAATTTGTGGAGTTGGGGGGGTTGGAATCAATTTTTTTTTCGTTCTCGCAGGTGCAATATGAATCAATTATCTTAATTAAGATTATGCCGCAAGCCCAGGAGATTTGGAGAGGACGGGTTTTGCGCTCGGGGCGATAGCGAGGCATTTTAATAGCGTCTCTCTTGCTCCTGGCTCTCCCCCGCCGCCTGCCTGTCGAGCCAAGGCAGCTCCAGCTTCTGTCCAAGACCCGGAGGCCCTGGGGCCTCCCAGGAGACTGACGCAAAGCCCGCGCCAGGGGTGCGGGAGGTCTAGTCCCAACCTGCTTGGTCTACCTCCCCCCTCCCCCCTCCCCTTCTCCCCCGCCACCCCCGCCTCAGGCAAAGGCCACGAAGCTATGGGTCAAAGGAAACCCCATTAACTCTCAGCTCCCCCAATCTGTGCCCTTTCACACCCCGGGCCCCGATCCCTCCCCTCCCCGCCCCTAGGCCTAAGTACCCCCAGGCCCCGCACGGCGGGCCTTCGGCCCGGCATCTCAGATCGCACCCAGGCCAGGGCACCCCCGTCCTGGCGGGGCCCGGCGAGGACGCGCGCGCTGCCTGAGGTCTCGGGGGACGCCCTGGACACATTAGGTCCTTTCACTGAAAGCAGACCTCCATTCGCAAGAGCAAGCATCTGTTACTCGGAGAAACAGGTCACCGCCCCGGACGCCGGCCGGGTCCAGGCTCTTTCTCTTAGCTCCGTAAAGACGAGCACTCCCTCCCCCATCCCTAGCGGCCAGCCACACGCTTCCCACCTCCCCCGTCCCAGCCACAGGCCCCACACCCGCCCCTCTTTCCCTCCCAGGCCGCGCTCGCCACTGCCCACCCCGGGGCACACGCCCCCAGCGTCCACCCCCCCCCAACCCCCTGCGTCCAGCAAGCGCTCCGGCGGCTGCTGCAACGGCCGGGGACGCCTGTCCCGCGCCCCGCGCTGGCTTGGAGCGGGGACCGGGGGTGGGGGGCGGGCAGATTTAGGGCATTGCTCGAGGGCAGTGAGTCATGAAAGCGGCTTTTGTTGCCTGCGCGTGCGGTTCGCGTGCCGCGCGCTCGGCAGCCCTGGGCGCCCAGTGGGGACCGGGAGGTAGGGGGAGTGCTAACGGGCAGCGTGGGGAGAGGGGAGAGAAGTTGGGCTATCAGGGGGTGGGGAGGGGAGGAGGGAGGGAGGAGGAGGGTGCAACCGTCCAAAGTCTGAAGAGAAGAAAAGGAGACTGAGACCGAGCTGGGCTTGCAGACTCGTCCTCCGCCGAGCTCCGCAGCAGGCTCCAGTGGGGTTCTCCCCAAGTTCCAAGTTCCCAGCTCTCTGTTCTTCTCCCACTTGCTTGCTCCCTTCTAAACACAAAAGAGAAAAACAACATAACACAAAACCAACATCACACAATCTCCACGGGCACTTGCTCAGGGCCTTGGTGTGTCTGTCTCAGTTCTCCGTCCCCAGCAGGTCCTAATCCAAGCCTTAGGGGACTGGGAAACTCTGTCAGCGTCTCCCTGGGACCAAACCTCAGCCAAGGCTCTGCGACATCTAGGCATGGCTTTGCCTTTGTACAAATTCCTGGGCCACTGGCGCGCGGGGTGGGGATGGAGGGCTGCTCTCTTACCCCGCCTCCGGCATGGCTTCTAAGTGCTCCCTCAAAATGGAGAAATGAGAGTCAGGATAACAGTTATTCAACACATCCGGACAGCTAACTATGAGCAACATGGCATCACTTCCTTGGGACCTGCTTCATATGCCCCCACACCTGCTTTGTGGCCTGCCCTTGTACTCTCAACCTCTGAAGAGTTTAAACTCAGCCCAGCAACAAGCCAGGCTGTACCGGAATAAATACTGGGATCCTGCTTCTTGGTGAATTCTTCTTCCCCCCTCTGTGTTCTTTGTCAGCTGATAGAACATTGAGAAGCAAGAACTCCACTCAGTTCTGCCCCCGCCCCCAGCTTTAAGGATTCACACTCCATCCATGCTTCTCACCCTGGAGCAGATCTCACATGGCTTTTATTTACCTTTTGAATGTGTGCTGGACCTGGGGGACTGCACTCGGTACTCTCCAGACGCCTCAAATCTCATTAGGACCCTCATCCACCATCCTTACCTATTCCCAGATGTACCCCCACGCCAGCCGCTCAACCCTGACACTGTTTGCAAACTCTAGGGACGTTTAGGGCAATTGACTTTAAACAAGCAACTCAAGTAGGCTGTCTTAATTTTGTGAAAGCTTGAAGTATGGGTGGTGGGTGGGGGTAAGAAATTAAGAGAAAATTAGAAGAGAAGCTGAGGGAGAAAGAGTAGACAGGGAAGAGGCCAACTCGACATGCTGCCTCCCCCCACCCATCTCCCAAGAAGTCTCTCTTAAGTAAAAAGTATCTTTCTGGAGTATGACTTGTTGGAAAAGAGCAAATATGAATCTCTATTTAGGACTACACATGGCAGTTTCTGAATAAGAAAGCTCAGTAGTAAGGTGTTTTACCCAAAAGACAGAAGTCGCTTCAGTTCAGAGACTTGGAGGCCCCGAAAAAGGATTACTCCAAAAACTTGTGCTCATGGGCTGGGTGGAAAGATCTTTCATAGCTCACAGACACAAGATTGGGAACCAAGGTTGTAGGTCAGGATGTGACCTAAGGTCCACTGCCATGCTTGAGATTAGAGTCTGGGCTGGAAAGCCAAGGTTGGTGGGGGTGGGGAGTTAGTCAAGAAACCAGAATTTTCCTTGGGATGGCTGGGTGGGGACATCCTTCACAGTAATCTAGTGGCTTCCATTAAAATATGGAAACTAAGCATCAGAAAAGCCTGAAAGCCTTTGGAGCTAAGACTTAAGAAGTCGCTTTGGGGGCAAGTCTAGGGGTGGAGGTGTGGACCCGGTAATGTCTACAGAGATAGGAATAGCCGAGCCTCTGGGTACACCAAACAAGGTCTCAGTCATGGTGGGAATAGAGTGACAGGTACAAAAGTTTCGTACTGGAGAGCCTGGGAGAGAGTGATCCACTTTAAACTAGCCTCAAAACTGTGCTAACTGATGAAGCCATTTTAAAATGATGTATATGTTTGCCTAGGGGAGCTGAGAGATTAGAATAAAAACAACAACATCTTTTTGGCCCCATGAGCATGGCCTCTGCCAAGGGGCAGAAGCCAAGAAATTGAGCCTCGCGAAGCGAGCAGGGTCACGCTGAGCTGGAGACCACTGCCAAGGCCAAGTCTCTACACTGCACGCCTCAGTTTCCCCACGTTTGCGTCCTTCACTTCTGACCCCCCCGCCCCCCGCACACTCACACCAGAACGCTGGCTCCTCCAGACAACCCGGACCCTCTCCTCTTTAGCTTTCCCGCTCCCCTCCCTCCAACTCCTCCCCTCTGTGCGCCCTCTCCCTTCTGCCCTCAGAAAGGGTTAATCTCTCCTGCGGGTAAAAACAGGTCCGCAGAGTCTCTAACTGGCGACAGATGGGCCACTTTCTTCTGGCCACAAAGGGGCCGGAATGGAGCGCTCCGCGGCATACAAATAGGCAGGTCACGTGGTTCCCGGCTCTTGGCTGGACCGGGAATACCATATGGCGCATGCCGGGGAAGAAGGAGAAGGGGTGGGTAGGGGGGCAAGGGGAGCGGTTGTCGAAGAAGGGCGGGAGAAGAGCGGGGGCGAGAGGGTAGGTGGGGGCGGGGGCAGGAAGCGCGCAGCCCCGACGCGTGCGCAAGGGTTGGGCACAGAGACCTGCTGGCAGCTCTGCTCTGGCCCCGCCCGCGCTCAGCATCACTAACTCGGCTATATAACCTGAGCGCCCGCGCAGCCCAGACACGAGGAATTCGCCCACGCAGAAGGCAAGCATCTGGAGGCCCCAGGGTTATGAGACCATCACTGTTTGGGATCGTCTAACAACAGGTAATTATAATACCTTTCCTTTTTTTCTGCTCAGAATAAAAACAATAATAATTGAAGATTTGCTATACCTACAGATTCTGCATGTGAACGTTTGGGAGAGTGTTGTATGTGTGTTGAGACCAGTGACCCTCCTCCTAATTGATCACAAATATTCACACATAATGAATCTGGGTATTCTAGTTCCTCCTGAAGGCTCTCTGATTAAATTTTAATTTTTTAATAGTATATGAACTTTTTGGATTCACAAAATAGAAGAAGAAGAGCAGTGATCATTTGCTTGTGGTTAAAGTCTTGAAAGCAAATGACTATTTCACTATCTTACTTCTTCCCATGTGGCAGGTTGGTGTAAGCATTTGCTACCAAAATGTAGTTTAAGTAAGTATAGCTAATGAACAATGAGACTCAGTCCATCTCTTCAGTGAATGAAAACTATGTGGGTATCCTGAGTTCACACAACCTGGAAAACGAATCTGCTTCAGAGGCAGTCTAGCTGAAAGGGGGTGAGAGCAAAGAAAGGAGCTCTAGCCCGTTATTGCTACCTGTTACTACCCAAGGGGCGGTCGAGTCTTCAGCAACCTCTACTGGAGCCAGAGATTCAGTTATTTTATTAAAGGCTTTTTATATTCTTTCTTACAAGCGGCAATTTCGCCATTGCCAATCGCTGACCATTATAATTACTCAATCTTTTAAAGGGAGGTTGGAGGCGAACTTTGAAAAGCCCAATAAAGAGCGGTCGGCCCTTTCAATGGGCTGTTTATTAGAGACAAGCCTTCCGCACCTGATCCCCGGCGCGTGGGAGCGCGCTCTGTGCCGCGCCCCCAGCTCTCGCCTCGAAGCCAGAGCTTTTGTACAAGGTGGAAATTTAGTGGAGGGCGAGGGATGAGAAGCGAGAAGAGAAAAGCAGGGCGGGGGAGAGGGATGGAAGACTTTTGCCCACTTTTGTTGCCAAATGCTTCGCGAAGGGTGAAATCATTTGATAGAAAGTACTTTCCCCCTCTGTGCATTTGCTCTCCAATCTCTTCCCATCTAATCCTCTTAAAAACCACTTCCAGGGTTACTAAATTACGTAAAGGCTCTCCAATTTAAATCGCTAAATATCCAAAAGCTAGAATAGAAATGGAAACAGACATGCAGTTTTCAAAGTCATTGGATTGTTATTTATTTATTTATTTATTGGTGCAATGATGAGTTACTTTGTAAACAGGCAGCTAAACATGAAGTCGCTGGAATGTGCACTTGTGTCCACACATTTTCCTGCTGGGAAATCTCCAGGAAACAAGCACATATGAGAGAGTGCTACACACTTATGTGCATAAACACTGCCAGCCCCGGACACCCGTAGCCCTAGCTTCTGTACCAGCGAGGACCTGATCATCCATAAAACACGACATTGAACTTTTCCTCGGAGACAACCATTTTGCAATGAACCAGTGTTTCTCTTTGCATGCATTTCACAGGATTAGGGACCGGTAGCTGATAGCTTATCTAGCTTTTGAACATAGTGCTTTCCCTCTCTTCTGCTTGTCTCTCTCCCTGTTGCATATAGGAAACGGAAATATGACCAAATCGTACAGCGAGAGCGGACTGATGGGTGAGCCTCAGCCCCAAGGTCCTCCAAGCTGGACAGACGAGTGTCTCAGTTCTCAGGACGAGGAGCACGAGGCAGACAAGAAAGAGGATGAGCTCGAAGCCATGAATGCTGAGGAGGACTCCCTGAGAAACGGAGGAGAGGAGGACGAGGAAGATGAGGACCTCGAAGAGGAGGAGGAAGAGGAAGAGGAGGAGGATGATCAAAAACCCAAGAGGCGGGGCCCTAAGAAGAAGAAGATGACCAAGGCACGTCTGGAGCGTTTTAAACTGAGGCGCATGAAGGCCAATGCCCGGGAGCGGAACCGCATGCACGGGCTGAACGCGGCTCTGGACAACCTGCGCAAGGTGGTGCCCTGCTACTCTAAGACGCAGAAGCTGTCTAAAATCGAGACGCTGCGCTTAGCCAAGAACTATATCTGGGCTCTGTCAGAGATCCTGCGCTCAGGAAAAAGCCCTGACCTCGTCTCCTTCGTGCAGACGCTCTGCAAGGGCCTGTCTCAGCCCACCACCAACCTGGTGGCGGGCTGCCTGCAGCTCAACCCTCGGACTTTTCTGCCTGAGCAGAACCAAGATATGCCCCCGCACCTGCCCGCGGCCAGCGCTTCCTTCCCCGTCCACCCCTACTCCTATCAATCTCCAGGGCTGCCCAGCCCGCCCTACGGTACCATGGACAGCTCCCACGTCTTCCACGTCAAGCCGCCGCCGCACGCCTACAGCGCCGCGCTGGAGCCCTTCTTCGAAAGCCCCCTGACTGATTGCACCAGCCCTTCCTTTGACGGACCCCTCAGCCCCCCGCTCAGCATCAACGGCAACTTCTCTTTCAAACACGAACCATCCGCCGAATTTGAAAAAAATTATGCCTTTACCATGCACTATCCTGCAGCGACTCTGGCAGGGGCCCAAAGCCACGGATCAATCTTCTCCGGCGCTGCTGCCCCTCGCTGTGAGATCCCCATAGACAACATTATGTCTTTCGATAGCCATTCACATCATGAGCGAGTCATGAGTGCCCAGCTCAATGCCATTTTCCATGATTAGAGGCACGTCAGTTTCACCATGCCCGGGAAACGAACCCACTGTGCTTACAGTGACTGTCGTGTTTACAAAAGGCAGCCCTTTTGGTACTACTGCTGCGAAGTGCAAATACTCCAAGCTTCAAGTGATATATGTATTTATTGTCGTTACTGCCTTTGGGAGAAACAGGGGATCAAAGTTCCTGTTCACCTTATGTATTATTTTCTATAGCTCTTCTATTTTAGAAAAAAAATAATACTACAGTAAAGTTAAAAAAAATGTGCACCACGAATTGGTGTAGCTCTATTCAGATCATATTCATTATCTGATCGGGATAACAAAAATCGCAAGCAATAATTAGGATCTATGCAATTTTTAAACTAGTAATGGGCCAATTAAAATATATATAAATATATATTTTTCAACCAGCATTTTACTACTTGTTACCTTTCCCATGCTGAATTATTTTGTTGTGATTTTGTACAGAATTTTTAATGACTTTTTTATAATGTGGATTTCCTATTTTAAAACCATGCAGCTTCATCAATTTTTATACATATCAGAAAAGTAGAATTATATCTAATTTATACAAAATAATTTAACTAATTTAAACCAGCAGAAAAGTGCTTAGAAAGTTATTGTGTTGCCTTAGCACTTCTTTCTTCTCTAATTGTAAAAATAATTGCACAATTTGAGCAATTCATTTCACTTTAAAGTCTTTCTCTCTCCTGAAAATATAAACCAGATTCATGACATCAAGAAGATGGAAAAAAAGAGATGCATTCCTTGTCAACAATTCACTCACTCAATTCACTCCTTGCACAAGCTGTATATACATATTATAAATAAATGCCAACATACACTTCTTTAAATCAAAAGCTGCTTGACTATCACATACAATTTGCACTGTTTCTTTTTAGTGTTTTACTCCTTTGCATCCCATGATTTTACCAAGCATCATAAGCTATTGATGTTTCCAGAAAATATAAATGCATGATTTTATATATAGTCACACAAATGGTGGTTTGTCATATAGACATGTAATAAATCTGAGCCTAAATCTATTCAGGTTGTTAATGTTGGGATTTATACCTATTGTAGTCAATTAGTACAGTAGCTTAAATAAAATGCAAACCATTTGATTCATAATTAGAACAATAGCTCTTGCATGTAAAAATGCAGTCCAGAATATGTGCTGTTTGAGATGTGATGCTGGTACCACTGGAATTGATTCTGTACTGTAATCTTGTTTGTAATCCTGTATATTATGGTGTAATGCACAATTTAGAAAACACTCATTCTGTTGCAATAAAATAGTTTTGAAAATCGTAACAATTGTTGAATTTTTTCCCTCAGTGATTTTTAAAGAACACGTTTATTCCTAGAGGAAGTTGCTGCTTTATTACTGAGTTTAAAAAGTGTGGAAAAGTATTCCTAGAATAAAGTAACAAACATACTTTGGCATATGATCTAGTCAATTTATTTTGCATATGTAGTACTATACTAATTCTAAATAAAAGAACTAACTAATGTTCAATTATTAGAGTACAGATTTTAGAGTAAATAGAATAAATACATTTTGGAGGGGGTTGTTTTTTGGTTTTATATGACTTCACCTTTAGTTTTCTTTGCTTTTTATTACTGTTATTTTGCATGATTACATAACAAGTTTTCTTTCATTGTATTTTGACAAGGTAGAATTACTTTATTATTAACAAGCAAGACATAAATAAGTACTCCAGTTTGGATTGTCGACACCTTCAAAGCATATAAAATCTTACTATTTTTCTATATTATTACTATTTTTTACTATAGTTTCCATTACCTGTACATTTTTTCTGAGCTTGAATAGGTCTCTTTTTCAAAACACCTCTGTTCCCAAAGAGAAAGTTACACACCTTTGGAAAATACCAGAAGGAAATGATTTAACCGAAAGACTTCAAAAAATAGCATTTTCAAGTTGTTTTATAAAGACATTGGGATGATTTCAGTATTTTTTTCCAGAAAAAGTAAATGAAATATTTGTATTTATCAATAGTATTTATACTCTGTTGTAAGAAACTATAGTTGTTTCCAATTCTCCTCTTGTATAAAACAACATGGGGCAGGGAGGGAGTTGCAAAATTTAGTTCATTGCTAAGTCCACTTCAAAAAAGTTTGTCATTTCCCTTCTTGTCAATGACTGGCGGTCATGATTCCTAGGGAATAACATTTTGGCATTTGTACCCTGGCTCTACTGTGAGGCTCTGATTACTGTCATTAGTAACTCCATTGTTCCTCCTCTGATTCAGATGCCACATTGGATAGCAACCTCCCTTCCCAAGCTTGTTCCTTTAATCTTTTCCTCATTGGTGATTTAAGGGTTCCAGAAAGCTGACCTCATTTAGCAAGCTGCTCCAGAAAAATGTGAGTAATCTAATGGACAGGAACAATTAGCCATACTAATAACGTTGCCAATGAGGCAGCATCAAGCTGTGACAGTAACAGTAAGGAATATTTCAACATTAAAAACTGAGTGCAATTTAAACTATATCATTTTAACATGTTTTCCATCATCCTTCATCACATGGCAAAAATACATTTAAGTTAGTCTCAACTTTACCCAAAATGCAGCAATGTTCTTCCAAATGAATCAGAGTTGATATTTTGGAATCAAGCTGTTGCTTCCATTATTGTTCTCACTGTTCTGATATAAGAGGCATAATACTGATATTTAAACACTGCCAGTCTTCCAGCATAGGGGACCACAAAGTGAACATTCAGATCTGATCTGATCTATTAAGCAGCTCAATTTCACCTGTAATTAAAATTAGACGACTTCATGAAAAATAAAAACTGTTGATATCGTGAGCAGAAGAAATAAGGAAAGAATGATAACTCAAGAATCACAGCTTTTAAAACAGCAAGCAGAAAAAAATCTAAACCATGGACTATTTGTGTGTTTTGGAGAGGTAGAACTGAATGGTGAAGTTAGATTGTATTTTTTTTCCATTTTGCTTTACAGTTTTATTCTAAGGCATAGGGATTCTTTCAGTCAGTCAGGGAGTAACTCACATGCCACCATCTTTTATTCAAAGGCAGGCACAGATGTTCCTTCTGCAGGGGAGGTTTTAATTTATGAAAATGATATTGTTTATGCATGAATGAACTGCATGCACTCTGCATAACACAGAGCACTTCCATCTGATCAGAGAAATGCCACAGAACCAGTGCCAATGTCAGAAACATATTCTACAAATTTACTCACTTAAATGTTTAATGAATATTTGGAAGGCATTTTCAAACCACAAGAAACCATCAAATGATCTTCCTCCTTTCTTTTAGGAATTATTTCTCAGTTTTGACAACTGGCTAGTACTTTTATCTAGCTAATAAGAAAATGTTTCACAGAGTGTGAAACCAAAACTAGAGTGCAACTTTGGCTTTATTTTTTTTTTAAGTTTTGCAATACAGTGCTTGTTATAATATTTGGGATTTGTGTATCTTGAGCAATGCCTATTTCTATCATATAGGATACTTAGTTCCACTTACTTAATGTAAAAATCTTCTAAAGAATTATTTCTGGGAACTCTTTTTAAAAGTCAGCAGATAATTTCATAATTGGAAGGGAAATTTGACTAAATATTTTAACTGGTGTATAATTTCTGTTGAATGGGAATACTGTGCATAACAGATTTCATTTACATAATCAATCCCAATTATACAGCATGATCTATATACTTTCAATCTTTAGAAAGATAACCAAATGCAAATTTAAATGGAGGATTATAATGCCTTCAGAATATCCTGTACTTTTTAAGATTATAATAAGTTATGCTAAAATAACATTTAAAGTAAATTTTTAGTATAATTTATTGCTCTTTTAAAATTCCTGTCTGAATGTTTAAAAGTTGGTATACATTCCTACAAAACTAATGCATTTTCAAAAGAAGCTAGCAATTACTAAAGTGATATATGGCTCATTAGCTAACAGTTTGAACCAAGCTGTCTTGTATTATAATTATACAAGAAATTTGAAGTGGAAACATCTATTAAACAATTAATAAAACCACGTTTCAAAACAGATATTTTATTCTCGTAGAAAATGTAAAAATAGCAGAGCTGTTCTTAAACTATATCAAAATCTCCTTTCTTTTCTTTCTGCCCAGTGACATTTATTTCTTGAAAACCATCTAAATAAAATATTTAATCCCAGGGTCTGATAAAAATAAATATATAAAAGAGCCAATGGAACATCTTGTGGAACACTAGGACTGGGAACTCTCATTGTTATCATGGCAAAGAGGCATTCTGGCATCAGTTGCTCTCTGATTTGTATGGTGGCATAATCATTGGCTCCTAGTCAGACATTATGTTTTAGTGGACACTATTGTCAAGAACCATTCAACTAGAAACCTGTACTGTATGCACTCAGAAGTTAAAATTGTCTGCCTCCCTGTGTCAAAAAGAATTCTGCATTGGCAATTGACTCATGGATTCTCTTCATATACACTAACATTTGGTTCAGTGGCTCTGATGGAATTAACTGTAGCCAAACTAGTGGCAATGACAAGGGCATTGTCTCTAGGGATTTGTGGTTACACTGTTAATTTAAAAATGCCTTAAAGTATACATGTTAAGACTATGTTAATACTAGACAAAATCTTCAGGTACATTAAATGTGGTTTTGGCCACCTAAGATACCTAACACTTCTCACAGCTAATTTAGAGGTTAAAAAATAGCGATAACACCATCTCTATAGGTCTCCAAGTTCAGCGCAATCCAAAGAGATGGATCTGACTGTGAAATGCCATTGAGTGATGAGGAATATGTACAGGCTAGTGCATATGACAGAAATTGGCAATTTACTGTTTTTTTTCGTTTGTTTTTTTTGGGGGGGGAGGGTCCGGTCGTGGGGCCTGAACTCTGGGCCTGGGTGCTGTCCCTCAGCTCTTCAGCTCAAGGCTAGCACTCTACCACTTGAGCCACAGCGCCACTTCCGGCTTTTTTCTTATGTGGTGCTGAGGAATCCAACCCAGGGTGTGGAGCATGCAAGGCAAGTGCTCTACCACTGAGCCACCTTCCCAGCCCTAATTTACTTTATTGTTTGCAATATTAAAAGCTAAACTTGCTTTAGACTTTCATGTCTGGTGTTTCAGCTCATCAGAAAGATGGCCTCACACACCGGGTCAGTGCTGACTGCTGTTCATCCAGGGACACAGGGCATCATATTTCTTTTACAGGAAACTATGAGGAAACTACAGAAACTGAAACACCTTGATATTTATGTTCCTGGCTTTATTTAAGCACTTAGGTCCTTATTCCAAAGCTTTTTCTCTATAGAAGTGTCTTCTAAAGCCTTCTAATGTAACAATCACATTGAACCCCACACAAATACCAAATTTATATTATCTCAATCACATTGAACCCCACACAAATACCAAATTTATATTATCTCCCCTCTATCTCCAGTGCACTGTGTATCCAGTGCTATGCTGTGTATTTATTTGCTTAGTTCATTATTAAACTATTTCCACCAACCAAATGCAGGTTACATCAGAACAGGAAGGTTGTTTCTTCAGTTTTCAGTTGTTATGTTGTTATTCTCATGCATAAAAGGCCAAAGAGAGCCGAATAGATATTTACTTTGCAAAGGAATCAGAGGACACAAATCTGATGCCAAAGGTTGTTCTTGTAGC